ATGCAAATTACTCAAGAATGAGGTATATCAGACGCTAACCATCTCATCACCAAATTATACAAAATTAAATTCTAATAAAAATCACCACTTCGAAACTTCTTCAAGAAAAACCACAAGTGACCACAAGGTATATCAAATGCCAGCCTTATATCACTTGCACAAAAACTATATTGAATAAAGATCAGACATAATTGAAGACGTACGTACGAGAACATAATTAAAATAGATAACAGAAAAAAAATATCTGCACCAGAAACTTCTAAATCATTGGAATTTAGAAAAGCAGGACAACCCCGTAATAAACGAAACTTGGCTTGCATTTTCTTGAAGACAAAAACAGAACAAAGTTAATCATATTACGATGCACATTCCAATTTCCACATACAATCATAAGCACATTGTGTGAAAGTTAATACTGCAAAGACTCGGCAATAGATATCAATTGAATTTGTGTCGACAATAAGACGAATAAATAGAGCTAAAAAGAGTATTTAGCTTCACACTAAGCATTTTATTTTCAAAGAAAAGAAGAAAAAAAACACAATATTAATTAACCAATGCGAAATATAGAGCCAACACAGTGGATCACGATACGAATTCACAACATGTAGTAGCATCAATAGTACAATATAAACACAGATCCTTAAAAAAAGTAAATCAAACTTCCCTTCTTTAGGGTTTACCAAATTCACAGAAACGCTAATATATAGAAATTGGGCGATCAAACCACCTCCTTGGCGGGTGCCGGTGGTGCGTATTTCTTGACATCACCGTCAACAACCTTGGGGATTGCCACGTAGCCCAACTTCTTCTTGGCGGCAGCAATTTCGTCGTCGTCGTCTTCATCGTCGGAAGAGGAAGAGCCATCGACGAAGTCAAAGCGGCTGGGGGTGAAGAGGGCCCACAAAAAGTACATGACGGCCGCCGTGAGGGCCCCGCACCCCACGCCGAAGAGAAGGGCTCCGACCACGCTCATGATGTCCTTCGTGCGGTCGCGGATCGAGCTCGAGACGGAGGAATAGAATTTGAGGGGGAATTCGGATGACGTCATCGTGGACGACGATTGGGAATCGTCGTAGAAGGCGGGGTCGGAGTCGATGCTGATGTAAGGGCGGCGATCGGAGATGGGGGTGGTGGAGGTGGAGGTGGAGGTGAAGATGAGAGTGATGTAGCGGGGGTTTTGGTCGCGGATGATGGAATTGGGGTTAGGGTTAGGGTTAGGGTTACGGGAGAGGGAATTGTAAGGGTAATAGGTGGTGGTGGTGGTGGCTGAGAAATAGAAGAGGGTTTTGCAGGGGCGGGCGGAAGCGGTGGCGGCGAGGAGAGAGAGGAGGAGGATCAGTGGGAGAGCGGAGGTCGCCATTACCACGCTGTTCTCTGTTAGAGAGAGAAAAAGTAGAGAGAGAAAGGAACGGCAGAGAGAGAGAGAGAGAGAGAATTCGGTAAACAAAAGAAAATGAAAAGGGCGTTACTATTTTTCAGAAATAAAACGCAAGGTCCACATAAATCACACTTTTGTGGTAATCCCTTAAAATTGGGTAAATTATATTTTTGCTCCCAAAAGTATAGCATACGGCATACTTTTTGTGTTTATTTTCTAATAAATATTAATCTATTTGAATTCCTATCCCACAAAATTCGAAAATTTCAAAATTGTAATTTTTTTGAACTCATAATATAAAATAATATTTCAAAACCCTTTTTTTTTTTTTTTTTTTTTTGTAATGCGAGAGACGTAAATCAGACAAGCTCGTTTGCTGCAACCATTGGGCACATCCTAAATTTTTTGACTCATAATCGGTTGATTTGTAAATTTCGTTCCAATTCCCACTTTTACAGAAAAGCCAAAATGACATTATTTACTATAATATGATTAGATGAGTTGAAACTTTGAAATAGATATACATTCTTCTTAATTATGCTTCTAGTCCACATTATGGTTGATTAAAAATGTTTAGTGGACATAACTATCTATTTATTCATATTTAGTCCAAATTATATTTAAAATGAACTAAAACTAATTAATTACAATGAAAAGAAAAGTACATTACAAAAACTCAAAGAGAAGCCCTTTAACACATTTTCTCAACAACAATGGCATAACTATCCACATTTGACTCATAATATGTACAGTGCAAGAAGAACTACCTCCCTCAAAAGACGTTTTTACCCCCACCCTATTAAAATACTCCCACGCTTTTAGCTATTTACAAACACACACAAAATCAACCTAAATATAAACAGAAAACAAAGCACTCTCCAACCTAAGCCTCTCTCAGTCTATAATGATATGTATTGGGGCCAAAAAAATAAATTTAAATGAAGAAAGTGTAATACAAGAAACAGCAATCTCACATGAACTGGCCCGGAAAACCGAAAGGACGAGGAGGAAGAAAAAAACGCACACGATGACGTGTTCCTTTTTTAGCGCTCGTTTTTTTTCCCTATTTCAGATTTTTTTTTTTTCGTTTGGAAAGATGATTATCTACCTTCGTTAGCTATATCTACGGAGCCATCCTTTATCAACTTCAAGCTTAAACTATTGAATCTCTCTCGTGAATATTGCCTCGATGCTTTTCTCCAATCCGTACCAGCTTTCATCATTACAGCAAATTCTTCAAAACTTATTCGCCCATCCTGCGATTTTTTTTGTTAAAGAAGCTTTAGAAACTATGTGCGTTGATCGATTATCAATTTAATAATTGTTGGGAATAAATAAGTGACCTTGTCCGTGTCGACATCGTGCATGATAGCACTGATAACTTCCTCGCTGTTGGCATTGTCTTCATCACTCAAAGCATCTCGAAGCTCTTCAATCTCTATATATCCGCTCCGATTTCTATCGAAAAAGGCGAAAGCTTTGTGTAGGTGCTCATCATTCGCCATTTTCCGAAGATGAACTAATACGGCGACAAATTCCCCGTAATTCAAAGTTCCATCTCCATCAACATCAGCCTGTAAAAAACAAAAATATAATTGAAAAAAATAATAATATATTTAATGTTATAGGTGACTAAAACTATGGAAATTCGAAATTCCGCCTATTTCGGAACAAGTTTTTTTAATCCAATTTTTGAAATTCCGATTTTTCAATTTTTTTTTTGGAACGGAAATGGAATAAGGTTTTCACTTCCGCAAAAAATTGGAAATTTTCCGAGATGAAGGAAATGAGTGATGGAAAGACTGGAATATAATCCTTACAGCTTCCATTAGAATCTGAATATCCGGGTCGGAAATCTGGTGGCCAAGCTTTTGCAGACCAACTTTGAGTTCTTCGAGGTTGACTTTACCCCTCTTTCCGGAATCCATCATATCAAACGCTTCCTTAATTCCAGCTGCCTCTTCAACCGATAAATGCTCTGCCACAACCTACACATGTCACCATACAATTGCTTTCTTTATTTAATTAAATATATATATTATATTTATATATATAGTCGACAACGGCAAAGTACCCTTAGAGCTCTCTTTTTGAGCTTATTCATCACCGAGAATTGCTTGAGCCTTGCTTTCACAGTCTCGCCCAACGAGACATTTGGTGCCTTTTTTATATTTTGTAACCATGAATGTTCTGTATTTATACAAGTGTAAGATCAAATCAATAATCGTGCAATGGTGCAATTCGATTTTGGATTAAGCAAGGATAATTATTTACCAAGGACTTGACGAGCTGTGAGACGCCTACTGGGATCTGGATCGAGCATTTTCTTGACAAGATCCTTCGCATTGTCGGATACTTTAGGCCATGGATCTCTTTTAAAATCAATTACAGATCTGATGATTGCTTGCGCCACTCCTTGCTCGGTTTCTGCACAATCGGAATAAAAATGGGGAATGAGTCGGCTAAACTGGATGTCGGGTGAGAGGGTTATGCATGAATGAATGAAGACTGCCCTAACACGCAACAAGTCTATTTCAAAATTCTACTTTAAACATGATTTTGACAATCTTCCAGTTCGATTATGGGAAAACTCAAAACATCAAAGTCGTAGCTCTTTGAATAAGGTTTCTAGCCCAATTTGAATCGGCTAACTTGGTAGTTCGACGAGAAAGTTGTGCATAATCTTGGATTTATGGCACCGGTAAAATTGACACGACATTTAGCATTTTAGTTTTTTTTTTAACCTACTTTTAAGTTTTAACTACAACCATATAACATCTCCTCTCTCAACGGTGCAGATAAAAGAGAAAATACCGAAACTAACCTGCCCAAAATGGAGGAACACCGCAAAGTAAAATATATAGGATAACTCCAGCACTCCAAACATCAACCTCTGGTCCGTAATTACGTTTCAGTACCTCTGGAGCCATGTAATAAGGGCTTCCAACAATCTCATTGAACTGTTCGCCTAAAATTCGATCAAAAAATATTATTAAAGCACGAAGAGTGAAGGAGCTAAATGTTTATAATTTATAAATAAATAAAAAGGCATATCGGTGAGAAGATAAGTTACCAGGTTTGAAGAAAACTGATAGACCAAAGTCAATTGCTTTTAGGGGGCTCGTTTCTTTCTTATTTGCAAAAAGAAAATTTTCTGGTTTCAGATCACGATGCATCACTCCTTGCTGATGGCAGACCTACAGACCAACGAACGAAGCAGCATTAAGATAATGCTATAAGCAAAAGATACGAGCGAAAATAAACAAGAATAGTCGTAAATTTCAACGAGTTTAAGCAAGTAAAGATCGATATATCACATCTATTTCAATATGCATGCAAAAAAACAAAAAGCTCTACCAAATGCATTCCATTAAGACTATCATAACACACTAACAAAAAAACGAAAGAATCCGATCATTTTCAATAGCAATATAACCTGCACGACTTCGACAATAGTCCTCATAACAAGAGCAGCAGCCCTCTCCGTATAATGCCCTCTCGCCACAATCCGATCGAACAATTCACCCCCTTCGCATAATTCCATAACAATATGCACCGCACTATCGTCTTCGTAAGTGTCCTTCAACGTCACAATATTCGGGTGCTTAGGCATACGCCTCATGATTTCTACCTCCCTCCTCACATCTTCGATATCGACAGCTGTCCTGAGCTTCTTCTTCGATATCGACTTGCAAGCTAATCTCTCACCGGTTTCGATATCAGTGCACAGATAAGTAACCCCAAATTCGCCTCTCCCCAGCTCCCGCCCCAGATCGTATCGGGCCGTGATGTTGTGGCCCGTCGGATCCTTCAGCACAACGAGGTTGTTCGGACCGTTGGATTTGTGGCTGGCGCCGTAATCGATTGAGAATGGATTGGGTTTGTTGTTCCTCTTCTTCTTCGCGTCGGTGGAATGCGAAGGTGGTGTGGCGCAGCAGTTCCCCATGATTTGGGAATCGGAATTACAATCTCGATTTCAGAAATATAATTGATTTGTTATCGACGGAATTCACGAAATACGATCGTGAAAAAAAAAAAAAACAAACAAACACCTGTGTTTTTTTTACAAGCAGAATTTCCACGAACAATGGAACAAGGAATTATAATTTTACGCAACGAAGACACAGAATCTGATTTTGGAATCACCAATTAGGGATTACAGAAACCTAAAAAGAAATTAGAAAAATGCAGGATTGAATAACTTTATTTAATTTTTCTCGGGATTTTTTGGTGAGAAAATGTGGACAAAAAGCAACTGATTGAAATCAAAAACAAATGTAAACATGGATTGTTTGAATTTGTGAACGAAGAACTGATGAAGGTCGGAATCGGAATCTGCGTTCAGGGGAAAAGAGAGAGAGACTCAAAAAAGCTGTTTTTTTGCAGAGATTTGTCTCTCTCATCAACCTCCTAATCCTCTCTCTCTCTTTCTCTCTCTAGACGTTTGCTTTTATACCTTCATTTTCTTCTTCCTTCCTCTTCTACGGCAATTATTTATTTTACACTTGGATAATATTTACATTTTATTTATTGATTTAGATTGATGAGATTAGTTAAACTAACGGAATAATTAAATTCTATTTAATTAGTTCTTATTTGTGTTTTGGATCGACTCGCAATTATTTGCTTTGAGTTATTACATTTGAATTTTATGTCACGTCTCATATTTCTTTGTATACGTGTTATATATATGTATGGTGTAGGCCATAGGGAGTAGGAGTAGAGTACTTCAAATAGTGGTTTGTGTGAAGTCCAATGGGAAAGAAATTTGGCAATTGAAAAAATCTCACCGAAAATCCACTTTTTCTTGTGGCGGTTCGATTTAGATATTCTCTCATTTAATGTTGAACTTTTTCGACGAAAAATTAGTGTCTCGCTTATCTGCAGCAAGTGAAAGACGGGGGAAGAATCGACAATTACAAAGTGCAGCGGAATGGAAGTAATTTGACTACCTCTTTGCTGCGATCATCATCGTCTGTAAAAAGCATGGGACATTAGAAACAAACAAATAAAGCTATTGTCTACAAGTCATTATAGCACTTCGAGAATCTATTTTCGAAACGTCTTCTTTCAGTACAACGATCGAGGAATGTTTAATCCTCGCTAAAGAGTTTCACTCGTGTTCTTTTCATTTGTTAAGCGGACAAACAATCATTTAACTCATTGACATGACTCTAAGAGACGCATATAACTGGTGTATTTTGCTACTTCACCGAAAAAAAAAAAGTAAGAATAAAGAAAGTCAAGTGTTCATATTTAATTTCGACCAATTTACACCAATTATCAATAAATTTGCAAATAATAAATAAGAAAAAAAAGAAGTCAAAGCACATAAGTCCATACGTGCTATACACACCACAAGATTCAAAAAGTTAGTCACACCACAAGATTCAACACATGAAAAGTCATTGTTAGGTTATATTAAATTCAGACTCGTCCTTGATCTTTGAAATATTGTACTACATCAATATCAAAGTTTATTTAATTAATACACATATATGTTTGCAAGTTCATTTATTTTATATATATATAAAAAAAAAAACAATAATGAATTATAAGTAATTAATAAAGTTGGGCTGATCTACTAATGGGCTGTCTTCCGTTGACTGGGCCGAAGACCAAAGAAGTCCATTTTGCACCAGTTACTAAATGGGAAAACGAATTTAATTCACTTTCCTTTTAATTGCAGTAAATAAATATAAATGCAAAAAAGAAAAAAACACTGTAAGAAAAAAGGAAAATCCAAAGACAGCGAGAGATGAAGAAAACAGGCGGAGGCGGCGGAGCAGCCGGAGATAAAAAGAGGAGCCGGCGTTCGTATGCCGACTCCGCCACCGACACTCCTCCAAAGGTTACAATTTTTTTTTTTAATTTAATTTATACCTAGACATTTGCGATTGTGATTATATCAACATGCGCGTTTTTTTTTTCTCGTGATTTCCTGTACCTTGGTGTCTGATGAATGCTCTTACATTTCAAAGAGAGGATCCGATGCAATTGATAGAAAAATATCAGTATGATTGTTTTGAATGCTGGAATTTTGTTCAATTTTGTTGTTTATGTTTGTAATTTGTATACTAATAATTAATGTTGAGAGTTGGTAGCATTGAAGCAAAATAACTAGCGACGTGCATTTGTAAACATCATCTTTTTGGGGGGAATTCTACTTGCATAAGTGAATGTAGGTTTTTTTTGTGATCGTACTGCTCGACTCGATGGGCAATTCGATTTTATGAACTGGAAATGGTTTGAAAATTTACGAGTTTGTCAGTAATTAAATTATTAGGGCACTGAAGCAATTGTAGATCGGCTTAGGGCACTGAAGTAATCCCCCTTTTTCTTCTTATGTATATTTTTATTGTGCAGATCTTTCGGTTCTGTTCCATCTTACTTTCCGGTTTGCTGTGATGCCGTTTCCCTATTTGTAAGAAACGTAGATGGTGATCAAGTTTACTCTCAATTGACTTTCAATTTAATTATTTTTAATTTCAGAAACAGGCTGTGAAGAAGGACGTTTTTCAAATATTCGCCGAGAAAGTAAGGGATCACAAGGACCTGGAATCTAGGTGGGCTGTCTTACAGGAGACGAGAGTTGAATATTTTAGAGGAAAAGATTTCGTTAGTTTTCTGAAGAATCACCCAGAACTCAAAGACCTTCTCGAATCAGACAAGAACTTAGAAGTTGAAGATATCGCAGACATTCTTCTGAGAAAGAATCTTGTAGTTCGATGTGACCGTGTTGTCAAAACTGTTCGTCCTGGAAAGAGAAAACTATCTACATGGCCTGCCCATCTCGAGATATTTCCAGTAAGTTCCGTTTTTGCATCTTCTAAACGTATTTTTTTGGATGGATATTTTACACTCGGTGACTTATTTGATTTTGATTTGCAGGACCAAGCGTTTTCGGATAACGATGCATTTTTCGCGTGGACTTTTGTGAACAGAAGACCATTGTGGCAAACGCTACTCTCGTTTTGCTGGCCTGTTTTAACCCTAGCAATCTGCTTGTTTCCTGTGTATCCACACCAAGTCAAGCTATTCATACTCTACTTCTGTGCCGGTGTATTGCTTCTTATACTCTGCCTCCTTTCGAGTAAGTTCTTTAGTTAATTGAATTCTACTTTTTTTCGAAAGTTTTTGTTTGTTATCTTGGGCTTATTTAGTTAAATGTTTTCATGCAGTGAGAGCCCTCGTATTTGGATTTCTATGGGTCGCTCTGGGGAAACGGGTCTGGTTCTTCCCTAATATTCTTGCAGAGGAAGCTACACTTAAGGAATTATTCCAGTTTTGGCCCCAAAAAGATGAGGCCGATCGCCCAAAATGGACAGCTAGGCTATTTTATGCTACAGTGGCTGTACTCGTAATTATGCTATTGAGGCACCACGCTCCTGATGAAGCAGCTAGAGCCAGGTATTTACTTTTACTATTTCAGTAGCTTTTACGGATATTGTTTTGGTTAAGTGCGATTTCGCCGTAGCTATTTTTTATTTATTTTTGTTTATTAATCTTATTTTTTTGTCCGAACAGGTACCATAAGAGGGTGTCCAACATAATAGATGATGTTCTAGAATGGTCTCCTAGGCTTGCCTTGTCAGGCATGATGGACAAACAAACCGTAGTTAATGCCACCGATTCCCATAACAATGTTACGGATGGTGGGCCCGAGACTACGGCCCGGCCCGAAGATGATACAGAAGGAGAAACAACATATGACCAATTCGAGGAAGAAGAAATCATAAACGCAGGAGACTCTAAAGACCGTTATTATTGAACATCACAATGAAATATGCTACAATAGGGATGAAATCTCGAACTACAGTCTTACTTTTATGTGTTTTCTTTTGGTTTTCGTTTTACTTTTGTGATAACATTTTCTTCATTATCAATCATCGTATGTCGTGACTGTAGAATCTTGTAACGATATTATAAATATCTCGATATTTAACCCAGAATTGCTCCAGAGTTTTGTCTCTGTTTAGAATATATATATATATATAGATCATCTGCTAATTCTGGCACCAATGTTCGATTAGCAAATGCAGGCAGTAAAAAAAACATGTTACTAGCAGAAATTTACAACGTTATCTAGCAATAAACTTGCGTTTACAAACTTCGTTTCTAATGTTAAATGACATCTTTGTACAAAAGGGGGAAAATAAATACTACTGAACAGTAACAACTAAAAAAAAGAAGAGAGAAAAAGAGCCAAGAATGAATTGCCGCCCAGCTAAGAAAAGCCGAGATTCGAATAAGTAACCACCACCATTTTGTGCCCTTCATCAAAACTCACAAACCATCCCCTTTCCCAACATGCAAATCGTTTTGCACTTGTCCTCCAGACTCAGAGAGAAGGGGTTCGGAACGAGATGAGGTAATCGACTGTGACGAACCAACCATGCCACCACCTGTAACTTTAGAAGTATCTCCATCCGGTTTCTTTGCAAAACGCCCCCCTGTGCTCCTTGCCCTCCTCAAGGCATGTTGGTGTCTGGACTCGTGTAGATATGGCTGCAATTTACAAAGGCACAAATGTTGACCTGGTCGAAACAAGTTCTCATAGACACTGAACGAAGAAGAAGAGAGAGAAAGAAAAGCACCTTTCGAGCTTTTATTAACTTCTTTTCGAGCTCTGCTTTAGCACGTGACTCTCTCCTGCGAAGAATACCATGATACTGCTTGGCATTCACATATACTGGCTCTTGTGCCATATCTAATGGCAGTTGCATTCTCGAATGATGCATATCGTATACATGTGGAGGAACCTTGAAAACGAAAACAAAAAAAACCTTTTTTTCTCGAATCACATTCGTATGAAACAGTAACAATTTCTCTAAAATCGAATGGATGATGTAAAGCATCGACTACAAAGTAGCTGCTACACAGCTCTGTTAATAAATAATGTCCCGTATATCGATTTGCAATAAACCAACCCTTCTTGTTCTTGGTATACAATTTAACTATGACGAGAAAGAAAAAAAACCTCGTCAACTAAAAAGTAGCTTCACATTAATTATCGTACCAAGTGCTGGCCAGCTGCCATCACGACTCCATAAGACGGATCATAAGGGTATGTGCCAAAAGCCTGAACAAGAATAACAGATTTCCATGTAAAAAAAAAACCATCAATTTTTACAATCTTTATCGAGCAGTTAAGAAGAATTCTTACAGCCGAGTGTCCAACGAGCTCAAGGTGTGGGGCCCGAGTAAGGCTCCCATCGTCTCTTGGATGCAAGGTAGGTGGAACTTGCCCGAGATTCTGTTCCTCTTGCCTATAGATTCTATCTGAACTCGACAGAGAGGATCAAAAGTAATGAAATTCGCACGAGAAAAAAATAAGGAAATTCGAGTAAATACTACTAGACAACCTTTTTGACAAGTCAGAAAAATCGAGTAATTTATTTGTCCAGACCGAAAAATTAAGAACAGGGGAAATCAAGTTACAAGCACTGAAGAGGGTACCATGCTGCAAATGTGCACTACTTGGTGATCTTTTTGCAGTGTCGTCATCTTCCTCGTTTACACCACCTTCAGACTGTGACTCTGATGAATCTGATGCATTTCCCCTCATCGCTGACGCGGAAAATGAATTATATCCGGTATTATTATTCCACCAAGAATCAGAATACGCAGTTGAGTTTGCAACATTATAAAGATCCGATTCTTCTTGGTTGGCACTCTTAGACGTTTTGGATTGCATGCTCTTCTAAATTCTCGAAACAACTCAACCACTCTATCCTTGCAGAATTCATAAACGAGCAAAATTTAAGATCCATCAAATGCAAATAGCACATAACATTATAAAGGAATCAGTCGGCAAACTTACACTCGAAATGACAGTGTTATCATTGTTACTTAACATAGAATCCCAATTCCCCGATTTTAAACTGAAACTGGATCAAGATGTTGTTTCCCCACATTTTTACAGACACTATTGCGATTAAAAAAATTGTAGCGACTGTATCTTGGATGTCGACATTTGTACGCCACATATGTAAACTTGTAATTCCTCAAGACAACTAATAGCATTTTTCATATGTTAGCTTTCTAACATAAAGAATACAAGGCCCAATAATTGCTTAATCATTATCTCCTCAAATTCACTCCCCACTTCATTTCCCTCATTTCCGTAATTTCGATTTGCCAATTTCTACGCGAATTTCTGCAGAAATTCACAGTCTTACTAAAAAAATAAAAAAATCTTTAATCCATGAATTTCATTACACCTACTTTCATCAAGCCAGATCAAATAAAACCTTTCAAATCAAGTAACACCAAGATCTAACCATATAAAATCAAAAGAAAAAATAAACACACAACTTCAATAATCAACACCACAAACAAACAACAATTACAAAAAAAAATCACAACTTTAAACTATAACAAGGGTAAAATCCCCCAGGTAAGAAAAAAGTTCATTAAATACAAAAAAATACAGACATGCATACACATATACATACATGTACAGAATGAATACATGCAGAGAGAGGGGCACAACGCACATGCAATAACCGAAGAATTAAAAAAAATAATAAGCACAATTGTTGAAAATAAAGACGAAAATTCAGTACCAGTTAATTCTAGGAGTGATGACGATTAAAACAAAACCCTAGAATTTGGGGGAGGTGAGAGAATTTAGGGTCAATGTGTGTTCATGTAGAATTTTAAAGTCTGTATAGCAGCAGCTGCAGAATGTAGGAGACTGTGTGTATATAATTTGTGGCAGTTTTCTTTAGCTGGGTTGGATACTGTCACCCAGGGTAGCACCTAGATTGCGTACAACCATTTGTGGGGCCAGCCTCGAACACGTGTAACATGAGCGTGTCAATTTAATATTTCCTCCTCTTGGAAATAAGAAAGACAAAATTAATTCTAATTTTTAGTCATAATTAATTAATTTAATGTGCATTATTAAAAATCTAAACCTACAGATAATATAGAACAAAATACTTAAAAAAATAGAAAGCAATAAACCATGGGAGTAAAATATAAAAAGAACTCATATCATTTGAATTTTTTACGGCAAATTACGATCACCCCTTGACGTAAGATCAAATTACAAAAAAAAAACCATTATGTTTGAATAAATATAAGCACCCCTCAACTATGTATTATATTACAAAAAATTTCTCATCTAAGATAAATTTAGAGACGTTTATTCGGTAAAATTGTGCAGAAATTGCATGATAAGCCAAAATTTCATATCATTTAGCATTTGATTTGATAAATAATCGAATTATCAAAATTTTATTAAAAATATTTAAAATTTTGATTTTTTAATTAATTTTAGTTTATATATATATATATATATATATATATATATATATATATATATATATATATATATATATATATATTAACGGTGTGTCTGTGTCTGTGTGAGTCTATGTAATAAAATAAAACTGAATAGCACCCCGAATTAACGGTTCGGTTATGTGCATGTACCAATTTTCGTTCAGTTCGATTCGATCGGTTTATTGTTGAATGAACACACTCCTAGGTAAATTTGACATCGTATATACAGACATGTAAAGTAATGATAGTTGAAGAGTGCTTGTAAATTGTAATTATGAAAACAAGAGAATTTTTTTTCGAAATTATATTTTATGGCAGGAATGGCCCTAATTTACCTATTTTTAATGCATTTATTGTGGGGATGGCTAAAAGAAATGTTTGTAAGGTCAAAGGTGTTTGGGTGGGTGAGATTATCAAAATTGGAGTGCATAGTTATAAAACTCCAAAACCCGCATGACACGCGCAGAGGCTGCGGACGCGTGGCTTCACGGCGGGCCCCGCTTTCTCCATCAGTAGCCTCCCAATCACGGCACTTTCCCATCCACGTTGCTATTTTAATATTTTACATTCATATTTAATAGTAATATATTACTTCATTATTTATTTCAAATTTAAGAAAATTTCAGCATTTAAATTAAGGGATTATTTGTCAAAAGTCCCCCATTACACATGTCTAATTACACTAGATCCATTTTTTTTAGAACTTTTTGAGATAAATCCATTTAATTATTAAATAATAAAAAATAATAAATTATCACTATTATACCCCTAACTTAAAAGTAACGTATGTTTTATGATTGGAAATAAAAAAAATTAAAAAAGATTTGTAATATATTTTCCTATTTTATAGTAACAACACATCATCATATCCCACGATTGCGCCCCTTAATTACAGAGAAACCGTTTCATAGATATCTGTATTTTTCCACACTTCCTCTACCGATCCAATTGTACAAGCAGAACGTTTCATATTAACAACATACAGAGTGGTTCTCGTGCTATTACTCAAACTCTGTAAGTTCTTAACAGTCATGTTCTCTTTCTTTTTTTTTTTTTTCTTGGTGTTCGAAATTATGTGTACATGAAAGCAACTGTTTTTTTCCCAGCCATTGTTACGCGGTTGTTAGCATATACGAACCTTTCAAAATACAGAGTGGTGTCTACGAATAATAGCCGACACCCATAATATTAATGATTTTTATTTTTGTGCAAAAATATGTTAATATGAATACAGAGTGGTTTTCCCCGACATTGGTATGTGATTTTTAACATATAGCCGATCGAACTTTTTTGAAAATTCAGAGTGGTTTTCACACATAATATCCGATACCCATAATAATCATGTTTTTTGATTGAAACACTTGCTCTGTTTGTCGTATGTCATTAACAGCGCAGCTGTACCACTTTGCGTAGCTCTCACCGACCGTCGTGTAATCTGTCTTCTCAGGAACGACATGACAAAATGATAGAATGGTGTTTTCCGCAGGCAGTCTAAATGTGGTTGTCGTAGAGGCATGTCACGGAAGAAGGTGACAGTTTTACAGATTCCACCACGGAATTGTCGCGTCCATGTTTTTTCTTGCCGGACGGTTTGTCCCAATTTCTTCATATCATCTACGAATAAAAAGTTAAAATATCGTTGGTTATGCATTGATTGACAACCACATATCAGTGCATAAACAACTGAATATGTATAGTAATATATATTCATACACTCCAACACTAATTAACATTCATACAAGCACCAAAACAACGCATTGATGAAAACTGTTTAAAAAACAATACAAAATGTACCATTAAGTGGTTTTAGATAACACCATTAAAGGAAAAAAAAAACATTCTTGCACACTTCCGAACAAGTTGAATCACGACACATACATTTTTTTTTTTAAATTCTGAAGCAAAACATACATAAATTACACAACATTTGTACCAACTGCACTTAATTCATAAACACATAACATTTTTCAAAACCACATAATTAAAACCACATACTTATTTAAGGCACCAATCACAACACTTAATCGCATACCATTTAGAACACTTAATACACTTAATACAGAACCACCGAATAAAGACCATGAATGAAAACCACTTATTCGAGTACCATTAAGAACACATATTACACTTAATATCTACGAAAAACAAACTTACTACAAAAACCACCGAATATGTTTCAAACTCAAAACCACTAAATCGTAACCACATATTTTTTTGTGGTTTAAAAACCAACTCATATAACCAGACGAACAAAATAGCATGTAAATATGGTTGCTGAAAACCACTAATACATAAATAGATTTTGAGACTTTTGTGGTGGTTTTGAGCTCAACCCTTAAAACCACTAAAACAAAGGAAAGTATATATTTTGGTTGTAACAACAAAACCCAGGAAAAACCACATTAACACTTAAATGTTTGAACATATACATACCAGGATGTGCAAAACATCCAAGTAACAGACTTCCACTTCAAACATTATTTTGGAACCAAATAAGTTGTTTCCAAATTAAGAATGCACTTCGAAACTGTAATTGGGCAAACACCCATCCCAAAAACAAAACAAAATTGAAACATTTTTTCACAATTTACGGATTTAAAAACTCACCAGCATCTACGGGCATAATGTCAGGACCGGTTTTGGATTTCCTTTTCCCTGTAAAAAAATACAGATTACAACTTGCACATGCACAAAACAATGAGAACACCCATTTCGATTTATTGTGGTTTTCTACTACTTGAACGGAATCAACCTATGGTGACACCGATTACTTACTTTTCGCTGCTGATTTTTGTACCATCTTGCCGTTGTACAAAAATACGATGAAATTTCGCTTCCTCTAGCAGTTTTCGTCTCTGATTTCAGCGTAAAAGAAGAACGTCTTCTACCGTAGTGTGGGGCATTGCAGAAAACGGGGGATAATGGGCTTAGCCGGAGTGGTTTTTTCTACCGTGATTTGGGGGGAAGAGAGGCGAAATATACGTCAATTTGATTTTGGGATTGATATGGGTTTTGATTTATTTTTGGGAGGGATTTGGTATTAAAGTACCGTAATATTTAGTTTATTTTTTTAGTGGGGGCATATACGGATTTTCAAGTCCAATGGACTTATCTCAAAAATCATTAATTAATTATGGATTTATCAAGAATAAAAAATCCAATGGAGGGTGTTTGCCATATTCCCCCTTAAATTAAATGAAAACCGAAATACTGACGTAAGACTATGTAAATTCCGTTGACTAGTAAGTAGTAACTAATACTTTTGACCTAATTCTTTTTTTGTTTAGATGACAAGGTCAAACCTTTTCTCCCTTGGATCCCATTGATGGCCCGATCATAATTCGGGCCTACCATATTTTTGACCCGTCGGGCCTGAGTTACCCGTTAAAGAAAGCAAATGAGTATAGCCCGATTACACTAATACAGGCCCGCACGCTTCAAAATGGTCTGCTTTCAGGCCCATTATCAGATTCCTTTTTTGAGTATTTCTCCAAAGGGCCCACTTAAATTCAAATATAACAATTCAACCCATATTAATAAGAAAATTTGTAATTTGATTTAATTAATTATATAAGAAAATAAAATGAACAAGTAAAGAGGGAAAAAAATAAGAGGAAAATGTAAGTGGAGAAACGATCGAGTAGATGTGTAATGGTTTGACCCAAAAGCTAAAGAAAGAGTTTATCAATTATCTCCTTTAAGAAACAAATTGGGGCAACCTCGGATTCTAAAAAAAGTAATTAACCTCCTCATTCTACATAATACATAAAAATAATAATAATTAAATAAATAAATGAAACGAAAGTCTTGCTCGAATGGAATATTATAGTATGAGTACTTTACTTGATTGAAATTTAAAAAAGTAAGGCAATGTTTGGAAGTGTTTTGGATCTTATTTTGATTTCATTTTGAGAAAATATGTTTTGGGGGAATAATTTGAGAATGAAAGTAATGTTTGTTTGTATTTTGGAAGGAGACAAAATACACTGTAGTAGTCAAATCATGTTTAAAGGTGTTAGAAAGAAGTATTTTTGAAGAAAAAAATTGAAAGATGAAGTGATGTTTATTTGTTTTTTAGTGAAGACATTTTTTACTGTAGAAGTCAAATCATTTTACTGTAGCAGTCACATCATGTCTGAAGGAGAGAGAAACTTTTGAAATTGTTTTGAGAAAATGATATGAAAAGTGTAATAAATCTCATTTTGTTTTGGGAAAACAATGAAAACAAAACAAAAATGGTTCCAAACATAGCCTAAGTGTCTGCTTTCTTGAATATTTTATATATATATATATATATATATATATATATATATATATATATATATATATATATATATATATATATATAATTTAGAAAAGAAAAAATAAATCAAAAATCTCAAAGCATCAATCCTCATTCCAAGAATTCATTGACGTGTGCATAAGATGATGATTGTGCTCATATTTTTATTTTGAAAAAAAAAAACACTAAATTATTGCATGGGTATATAAAATATCAAATGGGACATTATATTATTAATGTTACATGCGAATTGAATGTGTTATATATATATATATCCAAAATCTAGTAGTGACGAGGAATAGGTGAAGAGAAATATATATGTGCTTTTTCATAATCACAAATCACAAAGTACTAAATAAACAATAGATAATGAGAAATATATATGATTAGATTCCCTGTAAATAAAAAAATAATGTGAAAGTAATTAAATGATCACAGAAACCGCACGAGCCTTTCATTGGATTCCCTTACAATTGTTGGCCTACCCTCAGACATTTTTGTACCCCACAACCTGACACACTGGATATATATATAAACATTAAACAGTCCCCCAATAATATAAAGAAAAAGATAAAACAAATCTGACAACAATAATTTCATCTTTTAATTAATATTAATATTACAAAAAAAAAAAAAAAAAAAACAATCTAATTAATATAAATAAATTTCACCTCTTTTTTTTTTTTTTTTTTTTTTTTTTGCTGTTTCCAGTCCAGAAACTGTGAATTTATGTGACAAAGTTGAGAAAATAGAGAGTGGAAATAGCAGAAAAATTAAAGAAGGCAGCAGGGCCACCATATATGCATACTAGAAAATCTCAACTGTAAAAGTATAATCTTTTCTGTGTGAATTAGAAGACATTATTTTTGGTGGTGTAGTAATACTTATTTATATTTACTTCTTTTCAAAATAAATTAATTTCATTTAATTAACAGTATTTTGGACTTCTAACAAGCAAATTAATTAATTAATTAATTGATTGATTGATTGGATTTCAAGTTGGATAAAGTTGTTAGAATAGAAAATACATCAAGAATAGATAAAAGGAAGAAGCAAATTAAAAAGAAGCTATATTGAAAACCAGCAAACTAAACAAATTAATTAAAGTGGGAACATGAACATTAAACTAATAATAAGAAATTGTTGATCTACACACACACAAACACACAAATACACACACACACTAGCTAGCTGTATCTATATGTGATTAGTGGTGATCAAATTGGAATACCACGGAGAGCAAAGTAGAAGAAGAGCTCAATATCCGGCGGCGCAAAATAGGGTACTGCCGTAACACTACTACTACTCCTCCTCATCAAAGAATAACTGCCGCCACTGCCACCTGTCACTATCCGTATCTTCTTCGGCGCCGGCGGGCAAGTCTTGATCTCCGGTATTCGAAACCTCTTGCTTTTCGGAGTCGAACAAACATTATTCCTATTACTATTACTATTACTATTGCCAGATACATCCACTTTCGCCACTTCTGGTGGCGGCTTGGCCGGAGATTTGGCCGGAGAAGCTAACAATACAACTGACTTCGCCGGAATATTCTCCGGCTTCTTGATCAGATGCTGCTTCTTGAAAAGGGTTTTTCTTCTACAAGATGGACCCATTATTACAACACTAAGGGGAGAATTTAGCTGCTAAAAAGGAAAACCCTAAAAGCCTGCAATATAGCTATATATATATATATATATAGCTTAGGTTTAACTAAACGACAAAATTAAACCAAAGGAAAACAAACTTGAACGGAAAGAAGCAAGACAACAATGGCGGCGGCTGTGAGTATGAATAATTATGAGAGGAATCCAAGGGGGAGAATTGAATTGAATTTCAATGTTTTATGTTTGATATATATATATATTTATATTTTATGGCGTGTGTTTATGTGCCATTTATATATGTGGAATGATGAATGGTTCGGGCAGGCTGCCCGCTGCCCCGGATATTTTTTAATGATTAAGGTTTTCTTAAATTAAGCAAAGCAGATTGTTCTAAAATTAGATAGATTGGAGAATTATAAATTAGATTCCACAATTTTAATTTATCCTTATTTAGTTATAATTCAATTTTGTTCGAATTGGCTAATTGTCAACTTATATATTAAATTTTTTAAGGCATGTTTTATTTTCCCACCCTTAAATTAAGTGCAAATTGGATATCAAAATGAATTAACCTCTGTCATTATTATTCTATTATTTTCACATTTAATTCTTTTATATAGATAAATTACAAATGAGATTAATTAGGTTTATTGAGTTTACTTTGTAGTGGATTTTTTTTTTTTTTTTTAAATATTACTATTGAACATCCTCAAGGGTTTTTGGATAAGCTTATAAGCTGTTAAGTTAAGTTTATAAAATATTTAAGAGCTTATAAGCTCTTTCAAAGTGTTTGATAATTTAAAAAAATTAAAAATAAAAAAAATTAGCTGCTTGAGAGTTTTTCAGATATATATTAAAAAAATCGCATTTTTGTTTAAAATCTTATAATGAATAAAAATAGCTTATAAACTCTTTAAAATAAGTTAGAGACTTTAGAATAAGTTTAACCAAACGGACCCTTATCCACACTTATGAGATCATTTATTTAAGGTGTAGTCAGATAAGTTTTCATTGATTATACAAGTTGACAAGGATTAATGAAATTCCGACAATTTAACCCAATACCCTAGAAACAGTTAATAGGGAGTACTAAATTATCAATGCCATGTTCAGCTTAAATTGGGGGATTTAATTGATTAATCATGTTACCTTTCTTGTAAATGAATTAATTAATATTTACCTTGTATATAATTAATAAATCAAATAATTAGAGGACAATTAGGAACTTTGGATACCCTAGAGGCAAAATTCCAAAATTTGAATTAATTGACGAATAGCACACGTGCATCTTACACTGAATTTCTTGAGCTTTGGGATGCTAACTCATGCATGTGTGCTTCTGCTATATAATGTCAAATCTTGTGTCGTTTACAATTTATTTTATTTTAATTTTTGGTTAATTATACTCCTAACTAACATAATTAATCAATCCATTTTATATGTCATTTTAATGTTTTTTTTTTTTTTGATAAGAATGTCATTTTAATGTTTGATTATAATTGTAAAGTGAAAAATAATTTGACATTATTTAAAAAAAAAAACAAAAAACATGAAACATACGGAGTACTGTAGTATTTTTTTTTTTAAATGTATTTTTATATACACGTAATTAAATTATAAATGATAATCACTTGATTCGAATTAGTGAAATCATTCAGATTAGTGAAGAGTTCTTATGAAAATATTGTTCTAAAATCGGATCGTAATCGGTGAAATTCGAAAAATTGTTTTTGAATTTCAACCACTCAAGTTTGATTTTGTTGTCCTTGTAAATATTGTGAATAACACTACAGTCCTCAAAACTTTGGATTTAGTACTATTTCATCCTTGAAGTGAAATTTGTGGACTACTGAAATATTATTATTTTTGCATTAAAAAAAATTAAAAGCCTCTCTATGGTCAAAAAATTCTTGGCTTCAAATTATTATTCTGGTCAGAATTTCGACAAACACAAGTCGCATTTCTTTTGATTTATTTTTTGGTGGGGCTGTCTTAATATATTATTCTTGAATTATCTGCTCATTACAGAAAATTTGAATCTTGAAACCTCGGCGTTCGAGAAAAAATAAGAATGGCGGGAGCTGTATCAGTTGTTGTGGTGGGTTCATCATCATCGTTAATTAATTCCAAGGCTTGCTTGTGCAATTTCAACGGTGGAGATTTGATGATTGTGCAGAGGCATTCGATTGGCTGGAAGAATGTAGCTCGTTTAAGGCCGTTGGATTTGTGCAGTTCGTTTCTTGATTATTCCTCCATGTCAGCTCTCTGGGTTGCAACTGCAAAGAAGAGAAAAAAACGGAGGGAAAATAATAAGAGTCTTGTGGTGGTGGATGAACTTGCTGGGCAGTATGAAGAAAACTTTGAGGATGTTAAAAAAGTAATTAGACAATTTATTTTATTAATTGTGTGTTTGATTCATGTAATATTTATTTATTTATTTATTCGGCAGCAAATCGTCGAATATTTCACGTATAAAGCTGTGAGGACCGTCTTGAATCAGCTCTACGAGATGAACCCTCCACAGTATCAATGGTTCTACAAGTAAGGACTTCGAATTCGTTTATATCCGCGTATGCTCGATTTTTAAGAAAAATTAATTATATGTTTGTTCTAAAATGTTTCTTCGCTATAGTTATATTGCATCGAACGAACATGGTTACGGGAAGCGCTTCGTTCGCAACCTTGTAAAGGTAAAAAACATCGCTTCTCGAGCCTATCGTTAATACAAACATCGTTAAAAATAAAATTGTTTTGTCACAGGACAAGTTGGACCTAGCGGAGAGAGTGATGATAACTCGGCTCCACCTATACGGAAAATGGATTAAGGTTTGACAAACGAGCCAAACATCATTTCGTTACATTTGAAAGATGTTCGTCGTTGTATTTAAATTTATCGTATTATTATTTCTTCTACTTTAGAAATGCGATCACACAGAGATGTACGAGAGGATCTCGGATCAGAATCTGGAGTTGATGCGCGAGAGGCTTATGGAGACTGTAATATGGCCGTCCGATGATACTAACACAGAGACGATGGGATGAAAAAGGACGATAAAATCTGTATATATATTCATTAATGGTTATTTTATTTTTTTTTAATTGTAAAAAAATATTTTAAATTCTGATCTGTGTGAAGAAACACTGGTTCAATTTTGAATGCAACTGAAGTAGAACAAAACATTAGCTTGATGTAATAATGCCTTGAATATTAATAAAAAGGTTCAAACAAACAGTACATAAACTTGCTTTCTTTGCACTGTACAATATATATATATATAAAGCAAGTGCTTGGAAAATACACACTCCAGCTATGCACAATAAATCAACAATAATTATCCAGCTTTCGAAGAATCAAGATAATGCTCAATCGGAACTCAAAAATCTCATTCGACACCTCTGCATAATAAACTCGATCCTAGACCCTTGGGATAAAATAATACCTGTTACAAAATTGGTAAACAAAAAGAAAGCCTTCCTTCAAATCTGAAATTCGATGCGTCGAATATGTATACACTCATGTTAATGCATCACCAAACATCATTAATTGTCCAAGAGCCATCCTTGCTCGAAGCTACAACACAAAAAAAAAAACAAGAAAATTAATAAAAAAATCAATTCAGATACTTGTAATCGAAACCCTAATCAAGATACGTGGGAAAATTCTTCACCTTTACATCGAGGCAAGGATCGTTGACCATATTCTTTAGTTGAGAGACTATGCCGGCACTCCAAAGTTCGGTAACTCGAGTGGATGTATCTGGAGAATTGGGCAGTGTAAGGTTTATAAGGGTCCAAACAGTAGCTGTTCTTAATCGGCTGTCACTGCTCTGCAATGATTTGATCATTAGGGTTTCTGAGTCATTGCCAGCTCGTGTGAGAAGTTGGGTCATTACTGCTTTCTTATGAAGCTCGTTTCCAGAAGCCACATTGCTCAGGGTGTACATACCCTGTATGAGAAAAAAACATTGGGCATTATTATATATTGTGATTTTACTGTAAGCAGAGGCGAAAGATATGAATCTGAAAGTGATTTTTTAAAATTCTATCTCCATTCTTTTTCAACTTCTACAGTATTCTATCATGTTTCTAATTATATCAAATTTGCACTGAAATATACCTGAAACCAAAATATATATATATATATATATATATAAATATATATATATATATATAAATATATATATATATATATATATATACACACACACAAATATTAGTACTACATAACCCCGTCCAAATCTAGGGAAAAAAATGCTTACTTGAATAAGAACTTCCGCTTTTGAAGTGCTTTGTAATTGCTTTCCAATAGCATGTACAAGATCGCCGTCTTCCCCAATCACATAGTTGACTGAGTTTAGAGTACCATCGACAAGATTGCGAGTCAAAGACAAGGCTTGCTCTTGGACAGAAGCCTCAGGGTCTGTGCCATGATCAATACATCAGCGGATGCTGAATCGAGCAAAATTTTTTTTTTAAAGTAAGATCCTTTACATTGATGTTGAGTTCTTACTTACCACTAATGAGGCTTGCTAGTGTCGCTGATGTCAGTTCCGAGAGAATTTCTTCTTTACATCTGCTGCTTACGTGGAATGCTAAATTCTTTAAGGCCCACACTGCGCTAACTCTAATTGCCGATTCCATTGACTTGGAAAGCACTACCAGGTGTCTTAAAATTCCACATTTCATAAATAATGATTTGTCTGCCGTAAAATCGACCACCATGTTGCAGAGAGCACCCAAAGCAGCAACCTGTAATAGGTATGAATTAAAGGAAGACATATCCAGATATGATATAAGTTTTTAAAATCTATTACAAGCCAATTAAAGGATATATAGACTTTGATGCCAAATGCTCCAAAAACCTACTTAAGTTGCATGCTTCCACATCAGTTTATAATTAACACAATTCCACATTCTCTCATCTCATACTCCTTATTCTGGACTTGTTATCACCTATAACACATACCCATGTTTAGGTTTTACTATCCCTCTACAATAAGCTGGAACAGATACCGACATACCATGATGTATAAACGGCTTTTTAAAAGCCTAATCCTGTTGTAAAATGTTCATTCAAGTGATTCTCAGTACTAGATCAATCATAAACGGGATTCTGAACATGGACGGGCGAAATAAAAACTTCTGAGTACAGCTTTGTTTATTGCAGTAATGCACCAAATAAAATGGCATAACTGGTTTCCAATGATCTAGTCGAGAAAAATAATGAACAGTGTGATATGGTTTGAACTTATCCGAGCTTAATGGTAACACGATTACCTTTAGGAAACTAAAAAGTTATCATTTAATTATAAACACGAGCATTTTTCATATCGTTTTTTTTAATGCACTAGGAAATTTACATCTGAAAAAAGGAACAGTGGTAAAAATGTCTATCAGCTGTTTACTGCTGGGTTTGCAACTTCAGTAGAAATCTAGAACCATATGAATTCAAGGTTGGATATGATTATATAGGGGTGAAGAAGCAGAGGAAGATAGTAGAAACAAAATATACCTGGACAGGAGTACTGGAGTCCCACAAACGCTGAACCAACGGAACAGCAATAGCTTCATTCATAAATTTACCTGCACTTAAATTCTGAACAGTATTTTAGCAAAGAACAAAACAGATAAGAATGATAATCTGGAACCCTATATCCAAATTCATGAAGCAAACCTTGACAGAGCGAGAAGCATTCTTCAAAAATATGCAGGTCGCAGCGCGCACTTCAGCACTATCATGAACTAGTGCTTCTGTAATAAAATTTAACACCTACATGCAAGAGTAGGTTACTAATGAGAAATAAGTACTAATCACAAAAGTAATATATAACTATGAGCATATTGAAACGTTTCTACTATTAATAATGCAAATTATGGATAATACTCTTCCCTAGGTTAGCCAAAAAAAAAGTATCAGTTATGTATTGCAAATAAAATACTCATGCTACTAAAGACGAATCCATTTAGGGGAAAATCAGGCTTGTTAGTCTAGAACTGAAATTACTGAAGGATGGCTTAGGGACCCAATAAGATATAAATGTAGATTTCAAAATGAACCACCATAAGAAGTACACTAAAGGTTTAGCAGAGAATAGGTGACTTGTTAGAAAAAAAGACCTCAAGAGATTTCAGTCAAATGACGCATGTTAACTGATGTACATAAGATATAAGATGGAGAGAAAACAATAACAAAATGGCAATAGCATGTCAGTTCACCATAATGGAAACCGAGGAAATAGCCACATACCCAATATGATGATTCCCATGAAACAACTAACCTTTGAATCGAGTACCCTATCCCTGCAGCATTCCAACTCTGAGCAAAGATCACCCAGGGCTAAAAAAGTTCCTTGCAAACGTTTGGCTTGAAAAGAAACCGAATTTAAATTCTCGCATAAGTTGTCAATGACATTTGCATCAAAGGCTATTTTTTGCATATCCTCTTTTTCAGTAATCAAACTAGACAAGACAAAGGGCGCTTCGTCTCCAACTTGACCGGGATCACCAAGAAGCTCAAGTAATACTAATACCAGCGTGCTCTTAATTCCTGAATCTTGAAGATAAGACGTAGAAGTATTTCTTATGCTGATCAAACACATACATGCTAACAATCTTGTTCGAGGATGCTTATCCTTTATCAGTTCAATCACAAGATTGAGTGCCCTTCCACTTTCAGGCCCCATGAACTTTGAAGCAACTTCCGGATTTCCCTTGATCACAGCAGCCAGAGATTCTAAACTAGCATCTTTCTGACTTATCGAACCTCCGAGGAGACTTACAAGCCTTTTTATAATGCCAGCTTCACTCAATGCCAGCTGCTCCAAAGTTGACTGGCAAGAATGCGTAATAATACTCGCACCAAGACTAGTTACATTCTCATTCTTACTATTCAATAATGACAGCAGGAATTCCATGTTTTTCTCTTGAAGAAAATCGTACTTTGGTGCCAATTTTGACTGATAAATCAACTTAAGAGAACGAGCACCAGCATCGGCAACCTGCAGGATAGTTTCAAAGTGTATCAGGATTTCGTATAACCTTGTATCTACAGCCAAATAGATCCATTGTATTCCAAGAAATCTATGATGTTAACAATATCACACCTCGACTTTTTTACCATTTAAATTGACTGGGCAAAAAGGAAGATACATGACTTATTATATTCGATACAAACCAGAGTAAGCCTTCACGGCAGCTTCCGCAATCGTCACCGTCTACTTATAAATCATCTACAGTATTGATTACACGTTGCTTGGGATTAACTCCATTTCCCAAATCAGGCCAACAATTACTTCATCAATCAAATTATACATAAATACCTTTACTGCTCATACCAAAAAGTAACTAAGTGTCCCAAATAAAGAGAGAGAAAGTTAAAAGAAAGTAAAAAAAAAGCCTAAGAAATCTTGCAATTTCCAAAAGTTGAACCAAATTAATACTTCTACCACCCAGAAACACATAGAAAACAACATAAAAACAGAAAGGAACTAAAATTCCCCAGTTATTAAGAAGAATTGAAGACTACCTTCTCATTGAGATGAGAAATAAGAGTGAGTAAAAGAGGAAATGCTCCAGCATCCAAAACAGCCTTAACTCCAGCATCCAATCCACATGCAAAGCTCCCGATCGCCGCGGCGGATTGAATCAACACGGAATCGTGGAATTCACGGCTGTCCCCAATACACCCCTGCGCGGAAGCGGCGGAGGAGAGAATGGAGACCACAGAGGGCACGGCGCCGAGCTTCAAGTAGGCTATCTTCTTCGTACGATTACCAATTATCTGGTTCTTCAAATCCCTCAGCGATTTGAGCTTAGCCTCGTACGGAATGTTAGCTGAGTTCAGGCGTCCGATCAAGCCCTCGGGACGGCCGGGGTGATTCGAGGTGGCGGAGGTGGGCATCGTCGCTGAATTTCTACGGGGGGGATGAAAATTGAAAAAAACGGCGAGGCGGCGGGAGGAATGTGAGGTGGGGCCGAGCCGCCGCGGCGGAGGTGGAGGACGGGGTGGCCTTGAAGATGATGGTTTGAGGTTTGTGTTTGATGGTGTCCTCTGCAGTTGATGATTGGGAACTGAACCTAAAATCGTGTTTTCCTGTAATTGCTCAATTACTGGTGGGACCCATTTTTTTTTTTTTTTTTTTTTTTTTGCAAATTTAGATACTACTACTCACATACATACATTTAGAGAAAATGTGTAAATATTGAAAATAGAGAGGAATATTTATAAATGTATTATATAAATATATATAAGTTTTTATTTATGTAGAATTTTTTTTATATAGTCCGTTACAAATATATTCCAAATATCGACTATTAATTTGCAATTAATCATTAAATTGTGTAAATAATTAAAAAAACAATAAAAATATTCGAAAATTTGTTGTTTAAACATGTTTCTAACTTCTCAAAAATTGTAAAATGACTCATAGAATGTCCATCAGGTGTTCTTGTGTGTCGGACTCGCACGTGTTCGAAACGCGGTTACGTTAACAAGTTGAAATTTTCGTACTACATAGCAGGGTACTAAAAAAATGTATCATTAAGAAATACTTGTGCAAATTTTTACACTAATGTAATTTTTCAACATTGTTAGACCCTCTTGGGGAGTTAGTTGTTTACATTGAATGATTATTAACCGTAAATAAGATTAAATAAATATTCACTAATTACATATACACATGAATGTGTGTTATGTGCAGATATACGATTAACAAACGGTCAGAGTAAATAATCTATTGTACCATAGAATCTTCCCTCTCCAAACAGGGATAATTTTAGCCCTTTGTTATCTATTTTCTTTTTACATATATTCGGTTATGATTTGTTATAAACGAAATGGTAAATGACAAATATACCCTCTTCACTTACTAAACCCTTGCCATTTTCAGGACCATTTGGTCATTTCGTGACAAGTTGGACTACATTAACTGTATCCTAAACCAAATGCAGCAATATAATTGGTCAAAGAAAAATTATTTTTTATCATAAATATTTCTACACCCTCTAAAAATAAAAATAAAAACATAAAATCAACTTCTGAGGAATTTCCATGGCCCTGTTCCAGTCCCAATTCTGCAATTAAAATACACAACCAAACATTACTTAGCCATAAAACCTAAAATTAATTAATTAATTAATTTACAACTTTTTTTATTAAAAAAATATAAAATAAATAAATAAGACTTACCTCCAAAATCCAGCTAATGCTCTTAAACTCATGTAGATAGTAAGTGCAATCCAGATTCCAACATATCCATTACTTGATGAAAGAATGAACAATGCTATAATGCTAATTATAGCCACTATTACCTGCATGCATGCATGTAATCAATTATATATATATAACAATGAAATTTGTTGCCTTTAATTAACTTCGTTTACTTCGATTTACGAAGAGTCCGTAAAATATATTATACCATCGAGAATGCTGAGTAGGCGAAATCGGATGCTCCGAAGTTGACACCGTCGAAAACGAAGGCTAATGCGTTGATCGGCTGAGTTGCTGCAACAAACTGCAGCATGATAACAAGTGAATTAGATTATTGGTTATGACTTACGGGGGTCCTAAAATTAAAATAATTACCGGAATGCCAACGCCAATAAGGCGAAGAACTTCAGCATCTTTGGTGAATATTCTCGCTCCGAAATGTAGTCCGAATCCGAGGAATAGAGCTAGAACCAAACCTAGAGCTAACCCTAACTGCAGTTGTAATATAATGTTGGGATTTAAAAAAATGTATTAAAAGAGTTATGTAAAAGTAAAATAAAAAATAAAAAAATAACCTGCAAAACTCGGGATGCTGTGAGAGTCGCCCAATCGTAGTCGTTTCTTGCAAATGCACTTGCAAGTATTGCCTGAAATATATGAAGTACGAAATCAAGAAAACGAAAACAAAGAATAACAGAGTAATTAATTTATAAGTGGTAAAAGAAAATTCGAAGACGCCCGATTTTTAATTTTTTTACCCTAATAAAAACGGTCTTATTTTTTTTTTTAAATTAAATAACCTGTCCAGCAACGGCTAATCCATCGGCTAAAAGAGAAGTAGCAAGCCAAACTTGCAAGCACACTTGAAAAGCCGCCATTTCTGTGGACCCCATTCGTGCAGCCATTGATGCAGCTAGTGTTACGCAAAATGTCACCGCTATAACTCTCGTGAGTAATAGAAAACCTACATTGCAAAATTTTGAAACTATACAATAAGGTTTTTACGAATTTTGAAGAAAATAAAAAGCCGGTTTTTTTAAGGTTGGTCTAACCGTTTTTAAGAAATCGACCGAATTGGAGATATTTGAGTGTAGGTGGTATGAGATCAACTTGTTCCTTTAATCTCCAAAATAGTATACCTGAAATCAAATATCTGAAACAGAATCCATAATTAAATAAAAAATATTTATATAAATAAAATTATAATATGATGGTAAACTTACTGAGAGATAACATGTGCAATAGCAGCGCCTCTAACTTCCATCTTGAAAACGAAGATAAATATCGGGTCCAATACTATGTTCGCTACATCTCCGAACACTGAAAAAAATTTCGTACAACAAATCGACAAAATTGTTTAGATTTTTTTTAAAACATGTTTCTTTTTTTTAGGAAATTAAATGGAATATGCTTCTTGCCTGTTGCAAAAAGAGGAGTTTTCGTGTCTTTAAGTCCACGAAAGACACCTTGCATGGCCAACGATAAAAGAACCGCCGGTGCACCGAGTGATCTCAGTTTCAAATACTCTTGTGCAGGATACAACATCTCCGAATCCTGCGAACCAAATAAATAACAATTCGATATAAAAAACGAGAAATTCAAAAAAATAAAAAACTTTTCTTTTTTTGAACTTACTGATTTGACTCCCATGAAACTTAGTAGAGGTTTGGCAGCAAGAATTAGAAACACAGCTTGGATAATTCCAAGAACGCCACCGATGATTAAGGCGGAAGATGCTGATGGAATATTCTTCTTCCTCTGCTCGTCCTTTGCTATATCGAAGCTTTTACTTGTTTGCTCTAAATTATTATACATCTTTTGATCACCTAAATCTTATGCCATGTTTATGTATTAGTGAACGATAAAATTGTCCGGAAAGAAATTTGTGGAGAATTTTAGTATTACCATTTAGTGGTATTAGCATATTTTTTTCACTGTCCAGAGTGAGACCGTTCTCCAAGGTTTCGATTTCTTTAATAGTATCGTGTGGGCCCGCGTCTGTGATTGTGTCTTCTTCGGCGACGAAAGAGGTTGTGACACTTACGAGAGGGAAAATTGCGATTCTTGATACTTGATTGAACAGAGCAATCGAAACTCCCACAGCAGCTAGTTCAATTGGACCTGTTTGGAATATAATGGATATATATAAATTCAAATGAAGATAAAGGGTACAAAGATGTGTGTAAAGTTTTTGTACCGATTTGGCCGATAAATGCTGTGTCGACGAGTG